TTTTGTTTGCCTCGGGGGAGCCGTTGAGTATATGGATACAGCTTTTAACCATATAACACCTGCATTTCCACAGCGGTCTACTTTGGCGTCGCATACATACGCTCAGGCTGCCACTGGATGCTTGCTAAGACTCCGCAGCAAAATCTACCTCAACAAAGCATTCATACAAAACTGATCTAACGCAATACGTGCTCCTGAATTTGTTCGAGTGGGTCACCAGCGAAAATGCCCTCTTTGTATGCGCACGAGATGAAGATGCATTCTAACCAGTTCAAGGCATCTAATTCGTCACATACACACAGCCGCCCATAGTGTAATGCACAGCGCCGACTGCTGCGACTACGCTGCTACCTGCCCCTCGAGCAGGCCTACAAGCTACACCTAGCGTAGGCCCATTACGTGGAAACTGTAGCTTAATTGCATCGAAATACAATAATTCTTAAGTGTTTCAAAATCTGTCTGTTCGATTCGCCCCACTCTAAGAGCTCGCCTCCTAGGCCCTATGGGGAGGAGGCCTGCACTGGTGCCGGCGCTATCGCCAGCCGCAGTCTCCACACAATTTCCGCATATTTAACGTATGAATTTTAACTCATAGACAGTTTTCCTTACTTTTATCCTAGTAGGAGGGTCCTGTCCTCCTGCAGTGTTGCGATCCCTTTTAGGTCGCTGGCTAGCTATCGTCTCTAGGACACTAGCAAGCCCCATTGTAGTGCCTGTGCACTACAACTTCCCCCCTTGCCGGACTGAATAAACCTACCCCAAAACACATTATTTTTGCCTTTTCAATCTCTGTCCTCTTCTAAAGCTGACGTCGTGAGCGCACGCGGTGCACAGCGCTCCCTCCCACCTCCTCATTGAAGGGTGCCCTTGCTGTAGGCGGTGGAATGTGACGGACCCATACGTCTACGCCTCGGAAGGACCAATGTTGTTTCGAGCCCGAAGACGTCTTCGTTGGCGGCGGCGCCAAACGCGAAGCAAAGCCGGGCAGCCTGTAAGGTGGTGAGCTGGCTTCCATGTGGCTTGATCTTCAGGGGTCCTGCGCCACTTCATGAGGTACTGGGCTGCTTCTCCCGAGCTGCGTTGGTCCATAATATAGTCGACTTTGTATTCCTCTGTGGGATTGCCTGCTGCATCGTGGATAGGAGGCCAGGCGGCGTCGGCTGCCGAGGGAACCAAAGCGCAAGGGCGGGGGCGGTGGGGAACTAGCTGCGAAACTTGGAAAACGTTATGGCATTCATAAGTGGGAGGCAGAGCGAGACGCTAAGCGACAGTTCATATGCGTTCGATGACTGCGAAGGGTCCGTGGTAACGGGGCTCTAACTTAGGGTAGCCGTTGAAAGGCGGTAGGTGCTTGCTGCTGAGCCAGACCTTGTCTCCCACCACATACTCCACTGCTCGGCGCTTTGTCTCTGCGTAGTACTTCTGCTGCCATTTTGCCTTCAGGATGTGACTCTCTGCTCTGTCGCAGAGCTGCCGGAAAAGCTTAGTCATTGGAGGAGTGAGCGTAGGAGCTAACGCGCCTACGATATCAAGGTCCGCAGCAGTCAACGGGTTCTCTCCACTCATGACCTCGAAAGGAGAGAGCTCAGTGGATGAATGACTTGTTGTGTTGTAGGCAAGTTCCAAGGCCGGAAGCAAACGCTCCCACTCGCGTTCGTCAGATTTGATATAGGTAGGAAG